GCTTAAAAGAAAGTGTTGTTTGCATCAGGCGTAGTATAGCCGTGATTGATCAAACAAGTATCGATAATCTGCAAAGAAAAGCCTTAAAATATCACCTCCACAATTGTCTTCTGTTTCTGACTCATCCTGTTGCTTCCTGAGTAATTTTTGACTACATATTGATAAAATACACCCATATAGATAGGATGAATGCAATTATCAACGAATGCTCTGACTTCTAGTAAAGTCCTCATTCTCATCCAATCTCCAAATACATTCCATTCCCTATTCATCATCAACAATTCCGGTAAGCTATCCATTGAGTTTCCAAAATCCAATACACTGTCGTCCCTTTGCTCTAGTATAAAGTAACAAAGCATTGTCATCTCCCAAAACTACTTCTCTTCTCCACTGCTGTTCACAAAGATATCCAAAGTTCTAAGCATCGTTCCTTGTGTTGATGCTCAGCAACTGTTTCTCCTTCCAAAAATTCTCCAAGTTCCCTCATCCAACTTCTGAATGGTTGCTTCATCCTTCCACAAACGAATTTCACCGATGTCCTATGAAGCAATCCATCAAACAAAAGCATATCCTACATCTTTGCAAATTCCAATTGTAATTTATCCTTTGCGTTTGAGACTTGTTCCTTATCCAAATATCTCATCCATAAGTTCTTATTCACCTCTAGTATCTGTTTCTCCTAACGTAATAACTGTTGAGATAAGTCTGCCAACTAATATGTGTGATTCACCAGAAAAGTGTGATTCTGGCAAGCACTCACGTAATCTGTTCTCTCTGCTTGGCTCTTCTCCATCACTCTGCATTTGAATTGCTTCTTTGCCTATGTTGAATTCCACTGATACATTATGTCCGTTCCAGCAAAGAAAATGTGTGGCTTCTCCTTCAAAGCATTCAAATTCCCAATCACTCTAAAGAAAGTATCTGAAGCTTTCCTAGTGATTTTCCCTTCAATTCTGATCAGTGGGAATAGTCTGTTTGTATCCCTCATCTAGAATTGCTCCTTCTTCAAGTGTGTCATCTGTTGCTTCCTCTTCTTGTTCTTGCAATTCTTACAAACTGCAATCTTCCCGTTGTTGTTGATCGTCCTTCTGGTTCCAATTCCATCCAACACGTTCTTCTTATATTCCATATATCCTTCTTCATATCTTAGACTGCATTCTCCATCCAATATTCTCTCCTCTTTGTAACTTCTGATTAAATCCTTCCATCTGATTCTGATTTCCATCTTCCATTCTATTTCAGTTTTAAAGGTATGATCCACCCAGTAAACATCCGTCAAACTTTAAAGCTTTACTGAACACCTATCACAAACGGCTTTAAATTAAAAGTACACCTTCTGTTATTTCATGTACTTCTATGCCAGTGTCACAAAATCGTCTCTATGATAGTCGTGGCAATGCTCAATCCAAGTGTCTATCCTGTCGTCCTTCTTCAGTTCACATCCCTTGTTTGATATGCAAGCCATAATTCCGATATGCGACTTGCAGTAATGCATCAATCCTTCTTCTAAAGTTTCAAATATATTACTGCATAAGATGTCATTAAAGATGCATTCCCTTCCAATCATCTTCTCATTCATTATGCAGTCAAAGATTGCAATTCCATGCAATGCTTCTCCGAAATCCTTATTCAATAGTTCCAATTCTCCAAATGTTTGAGAGCAGTTAAAGTATCCAAGTAACAACTTCACTCTCAAACTATCCAATTATGTACCTTTGATGATTGCATCCAGCAGTCCCAACTATAAGTCATAGTAAGGTATCTTCCTACCACTGAAAAGCTTAGTCAACATCTCAGGCACTCCTTAATCCAATATCACCTGTTCGTCTCCAAATAGTTTTCTCCAAGTCGTCGATAAGAAAATCGACACGCTGTCCAAAGTTCCAAGTTCCTTTTCTCTCCATTCTCCATCCATTAACATGATTGCTTCCTTGATCCTCATCTTAAAGTATATCTCCTTCTAAGCTCCCTTCTATTAATTCATCTAATATTCCCTTTCAAATTGTTCCGCAAATTGTGGACTGATCACCTTCAGAGTCTTTGAAATATCCTTCTTGAAGTACTAGTACTACTTCCAAGTCGTTCCATATTCTTCCAAGTTGTTGATTGCCATGTATCTCAAAGGCCTTTCCACTCCATAACACTTACTATGATTCTCCAAAATGTGCATTCTTAAGTTGAATTCGCAAGCTTTGTGATTCTTCTTCGCCTTGCAGTTGCTTTCTATACATCTTCCCTAATTTGCATCGAATATCTAAAAGAAACTCAAGTGATCCATCATATGCTAAAAGAATTCCAAAGGCTTCAAGTTTTTCTTACTGCATAGTTTGCAGCTTAAGACTTTAAAGTGATTCCATAATCCAACATCCAATACTTTGATCGCCATTCCAATTATCTCCTTCAATATCTTCCTTTCTTCCTTCACCAATTTCTTCTGCGTCTTCTAAAGTATAAGTGTTCCATTGTTCTCCATAATCCTTCTCAATCTTCCTTTATCTATCCTTCATCCAAATCTTCTTTCCAATCTTCAAAGTCTTACCTCATTGCATCCATCAATTCCTTCACCAATTTCCAAATATCCTTCTCTTCATTCACCAAATACAAAGCAATCCTACTTCTAAAAGCTTTATACAAGTTCAATAAGGTCTTCAATTACTTCATCTAATCATAAAGCTAATATCTCTAAAATTAGGTAAGGCTATTCATCTAATATCTCCAAACAATCTCCAATTATCTTACCTAAGGTTTCCTTCTATGAATAGAGTCCAAAATAAAAAGCTAATTCTCCAATATCTTCTAAATATCTTCTATCTTCTAAAGGTATTAATTCTCCATCTAAGTTTGATTAATTTCCTAATTCTAATTCATCAAAAATTAAAAAGTTATTTTAATTAATGAATTTTCTCTCTTCTGATTCCAAAATATCAATTTCCAAAATCCTTAATTAAATTTGATCCTTCTAATTTTTTGTTCCTATAATTCTTCATCCGATTAATTAAGATCATCAAATTATTCCAATCCAATTTTCTAATTCATTGATTTTCTAAAAGTTATTTTAATTAATGAATTTATTTTCCAAAGTTTCCCAAATTATTAATTCCAAAATCCTTATTAATTTTTTCTCCTTCTTTTAATTTGTTTCCTTCTATTGATTTGTTCTAGAATAATCTGTACAACTCCCAATCTTCTAACTGTATCTTTCGAAATCCCAACTGTATCTTTCCAAATTCCAATCTGTAATTTTTCCAAATTCCAATCTGTATCTTTCCCAATCCCAATCTGTATCTTTCACATTCCCAATCTGTATCTTTCACAATCCCAATCTGAACTGTATCTTTTCTCTTAATATCCAATATCTGATTCCATTCCT